CAAAATTTATTATGGTTTATAATGGCAAATGATACTTTGAATATTACATGTTAATAACTTGATTGGAATTATAACCCTGAGTTGACAGTTTGATACTTTGAAAATTTTGAGCCAGCCCTACCCCCAAGGGCTGGCGGGTGTGGCCCAAAGGCGTCAGTGTGCAAAAATTTCTTCATTTTCCTTGTTTAGAATCAGAGGTGCTAGTTTCAAATACTTTTTTAGTCTTTAATCTGTAAGCTAGATATTGAATAAGGTGGTTTAATTGTTTTTTGTCACTTTAAATAATATTTTTGTTCATATTAAAATCAAAATCAACTCTCTGTATAAATATATCAGGTGACCGTTAAGGCCCATGGGCCTCTTGTTATATTTTATAGTTTTATTATATTTTATTATATTTTATAGCTGTATTATATTTTATTATATTTTATAGCTTTTGGACGATAGTTTTACAATACTTCAGCCTTATTTTTACGGAAAAATAAGTTAAGTCTTGAATTTCATAATAATGGAATTTCTGTATGACCAACCTGTAAAACAACATAAGTTGTTCTTTTAACAAAATATGAAATATTGTACTGTGATCATATCCATGCATACATGTGATATTGTTATCTAGGTATAATGGTATATATGATAAAAAATATAATCATTTCAAATTGGCTATCTGATAAATATATAAATATGTTTATGCTAGTTAACCATCTAATTAATATGTTGGTCCAGTATTATTATCAGCCTAGCAGTTTAGTCAACATGCTATGTTTATTTTCAGATAAGCCGTATTGACATAGGCTGACGTTAAAAGTCATAGTTCAATAAGATATAAACCTGTAACTGGAAAAATGGCGGATGCACAATTTTTCCAACGATTGAAAAGACAAGGAGTAGATGTGAAGCTGGCGACAACCATTGTATCTTGTAGTAAGTCACTCTTTTGTACTACATATGATTTGTATGATGCTGGAATTTTGTCGTGTTTACATAGCATCTGTCTAGCACCATGTACAGTGTTTATGTAGCATCTGTCTAGTACCATGTACAGTGTTTATGTAGCATCTGTCTAGTACCATGTACAGTGTTTATGTAGCATCTGTCTAGTACCATGTACAGTGTTTATGTAGCATCTGTCTAGTACCATGTACAGTGTTTATGTAGCATCTGTCTAGTACCATGTACAGTGTTTATGTAGCATCTGTCTAGTACCATGTACAGTGTTTATGTAGCATCTGTCTAGTACCATGTACAGTGTTTATGTAGCATCTGTCTAGTACCATGTACAGTGTTTATGTAGCATCTGTCTAGTACCATGTACAGTGTTTATGTAGCATCTGTCTAGTACCATGTACAGTGTTTATGTAGCATCTGTCTAGTACCATGTACAGTGTTTATGTAGCATCTGTCTAGTACCATGTACAGTGTTTATGTAGCATCTGTCTAGTACCATGTACAGTGTTTATGTAGCATCTGTCTAGTACCATGTACAGTGTTTATGTAGCATCTGTCTAGTACCATGTACAGTGTTTATGTAGCATCTGTCTAGTACCATGTACAGTGTTTATGTAGCATCTGTCTAGTACCATGTACAGTGTTTATGTAGCATCTGTCTAGTACCATGTACAGTGTTTATGTAGCATCTGTCTAGTACCATGTACAGTGTTTATGTAGCATCTGTCTAGTACCATGTACAGTGTTTATGTAGCATCTGTCTAGTACCATGTACAGTGTTTATGTAGCATCTGTCTAGTACCATGTACAGTGTTTATGTAGCATCTGTCTAGTACCATGTACAGTGTTTATGTAGCATCTGTCTAGTACCATGTACAGTGTTTATGTAGCATCTGTCTAGTACCATGTACAGTGTTTATGTAGCATCTGTCTAGTACCATGTACAGTGTTTATGTAGCATCTGTCTAGTACCATGTACAGTGTTTATGTAGCATCTGTCTAGTACCATGTACAGTGTTTATGTAGCATCTGTCTAGTACCATGTACAGTGTTTATGTAGCATCTGTCTAGTACCATGTACAGTGTTTATGTAGCATCTGTCTAGTACCATGTACAGTGTTTATGTAGCATCTGTCTAGTACCATGTACAGTGTTTATGTAGCATCTGTCTAGTACCATGTACAGTGTTTATGTAGCATCTGTCTAGTACCATGTACAGTGTTTATGTAGCATCTGTCTAGTACCATGTACAGTGTTTATGTAGCATCTGTCTAGTACCATGTACAGTGTTTATGTAGCATCTGTCTAGTACCATGTACAGTGTTTATGTAGCATCTGTCTAGTACCATGTACAGTGTTTATGTAGCATCTGTCTAGTACCATGTACAGTGTTTATGTAGCATCTGTCTAGTACCATGTACAGTGTTTATGTAGCATCTGTCTAGTACCATGTACAGTGTTTATGTAGCATCTGTCTAGTACCATGTACAGTGTTTATGTAGCATCTGTCTAGTACCATGTACAGTGTTTATGTAGCATCTGTCTAGTACCATGTACAGTGTTTATGTAGCATCTGTCTAGTACCATGTACAGTGTTTATGTAGCATCTGTCTAGTACCATGTACAGTGTTTATGTAGCATCTGTCTAGTACCATGTACAGTGTTTATGTAGCATCTGTCTAGTACCATGTACAGTGTTTATGTAGCATCTGTCTAGTACCATGTACAGTGTTTATGTAGCATCTGTCTAGTACCATGTACAGTGTTTATGTAGCATCTGTCTAGTACCATGTACAGTGTTTATGTAGCATCTGTCTAGTACCATGTACAGTGTTTATGTAGCATCTGTCTAGTACCATGTACAGTGTTTATGTAGCATCTGTCTAGTACCATGTACAGTGTTTATGTAGCATCTGTCTAGTACCATGTACAGTGTTTATGTAGCATCTGTCTAGTACCATGTACAGTGTTTATGTAGCATCTGTCTAGTACCATGTACAGTGTTTATGTAGCATCTGTCTAGTACCATGTACAGTGTTTATGTAGCATCTGTCTAGTACCATGTACAGTGTTTATGTAGCATCTGTCTAGTACCATGTACAGTGTTTATGTAGCATCTGTCTAGTACCATGTACAGTGTTTATGTAGCATCTGTCTAGTACCATGTACAGTGTTTATGTAGCATCTGTCTAGTACCATGTACAGTGTTTATGTAGCATCTGTCTAGTACCATGTACAGTGTTTATGTAGCATCTGTCTAGTACCATGTACAGTGTTTATGTAGCATCTGTCTAGTACCATGTACAGTGTTTATGTAGCATCTGTCTAGTACCATGTACAGTGTTTATGTAGCATCTGTCTAGTACCATGTACAGTGTTTATGTAGCATCTGTCTAGTACCATGTACAGTGTTTATGTAGCATCTGTCTAGTACCATGTACAGTGTTTATGTAGCATCTGTCTAGTACCATGTACAGTGTTTATGTAGCATCTGTCTAGTACCATGTACAGTGTTTATGTAGCATCTGTCTAGTACCATGTACAGTGTTTATGTAGCATCTGTCTAGTACCATGTACAGTGTTTATGTAGCATCTGTCTAGTACCATGTACAGTGTTTATGTAGCATCTGTCTAGTACCATGTACAGTGTTTATGTAGCATCTGTCTAGTACCATGTACAGTGTTTATGTAGCATCTGTCTAGTACCATGTACAGTGTTTATGTAGCATCTGTCTAGTACCATGTACAGTGTTTATGTAGCATCTGTCTAGTACCATGTACAGTGTTTATGTAGCATCTGTCTAGTACCATGTACAGTGTTTATGTAGCATCTGTCTAGTACCATGTACAGTGTTTATGTAGCATCTGTCTAGTACCATGTACAGTGTTTATGTAGCATCTGTCTAGTACCATGTACAGTGTTTATGTAGCATCTGTCTAGTACCATGTACAGTGTTTATGTAGCATCTGTCTAGTACCATGTACAGTGTTTATGTAGCATCTGTCTAGTACCATGTACAGTGTTTATGTAGCATCTGTCTAGTACCATGTACAGTGTTTATGTAGCATCTGTCTAGTACCATGTACAGTGTTTATGTAGCATCTGTCTAGTACCATGTACAGTGTTTATGTAGCATCTGTCTAGTACCATGTACAGTGTTTATGTAGCATCTGTCTAGTACCATGTACAGTGTTTATGTAGCATCTGTCTAGTACCATGTACAGTGTTTATGTAGCATCTGTCTAGTACCATGCACAGTGTTAATGTAGCATCTGTCTAGCACCATGTACAGTGTTTATGTAGCATCTGTCTAGTACCATGCACAGTGTTTATGTAGCACTTTCATTGCATATCCTGATCATATATAAGGGTTAGAAATAAAATGTAATTGATAAGAGGCACTTTTTAATGGTTTGTCCAATCTACGATGATGTTCAGATAGGAACTCTTAAATAAAGTGTAGTAGACTTTGATTGTACATTGGACAATGGTCACCCTCTAGATTAACCCTAGAGGGAATTTCCCTTTAGCTCCGTGGTAGCGTGTCTACTAGGAAGTCTGGGATCATGGGTTTGATACCTGTTGAATGCAATCGACTCAATTTCTTGTTACAAAAGCAGCAGAACATATTTATGATTTTGCTGGATTATCGGCGAAGAAAAAAAATCATTTAACATTATGAACTGTTAATTAAAATGTTGCAGAAAGTTCTCTCTACTGTGTTATATAATTCATATGTGGAAGAAAATTATTCACCTTAAACTGAATATAATATAACTTGATATTGATATTGAGCCCTCGTCTTATGGAGGGTATGGGGGCTAGCTCTCCCACAAATCTTTTTAAAAAACTAGATGACATGAGGTGGCATTTCAGCACTTTTTATCTTCTTCTCCTTTCAATAAGAGACTTTTAATCTCCAAGGATGGAGCGATTACTGACTCTGTTATAATTCAACTCAAGTTGTCAACTTTCTATTAATATCATGAAGCTCCTTGTAAAATGTGTGAATGAAGGAAAATAAAATCATCAAACAATTTTTCGATTTTAGACTCAAGATGAAATATTTCTTGCTGAAAGGGGAAATTAAGCAAAGAAAAAGGGGAAAATTGTGATTGTAAAAGGGGAAAATTTAATCATGATTTCTAATTTACCCAATACCGGTAGTAAAAAAGAGCTGGATAAAGCCCTGATGTAAACATTAATGTGTTTTATGTATTCAAATGTGTGACACTTAAAAAAATATATGTTAAATTGTTGTCATTGATTAACCTGCGGACTGGGGAAGGGGATTAGGAGAGGGGGTTTCAATGTGGTATGTCAAATGGAAAGTTCAGGTATTGTTTGCATGGTATTGATTATAAAGCAATGCTTTTATTCAGTGCTATTACTAGAAAGATCTAATGTTTAACTGATATCTTTTAATCACAAATTTTGATTTCAATGCTGTTTTATCTTATTCATGTAGTAAAGTCCTCTTGAAGAAAAAAAGTGCTTGAAAGTCACCACTGTGTGTAATGTTTGCCTTGGTACAGTGTACATATATGTACTTGTTTTTCTATATGTATTTACACAGTATGTATGGATATGTATATTTCACTCAAATTTTCAAATATGTAAATAACAAATATTAAAATTTGTACTGTAATTTATGTTACCAGTTATTCATATTTCTTACAGAACAATTTACCAGTGAAGAATTGAAAGATTGGGCAATTATTAGTCTTAAGACAATCAAACTCAATGAGGCTATCAAAATCGTCAAAGAACTACATTTTAACCAGAATGTGGGAGATAATAAAAGTGGAATTCTATGTGCACGGATCAATAATCTCAAGAAATCACCACAAGAGGAGGCCGGTCAACAAGGTGGTCACAGCAAGGTAAGGGTTACAAAGGGTCAAGGTAATGTTTACAGTTGGAGGTCAAGGTGAGGTTTACAGTTGGAGGTCACAGTAATGTTTAAAGTTGGAGGTCAGGGTAAGGTTTACAGTTGGAGGTCAAGGTGAGGTTTACAGTTGGAGGTCAAGGTGAGGTTTACAGTTGGAGGTCAAGGTGAGGTTTACAGTTGGAGGTCAAGGTGAGGTTTACAGTTGGAGGTCAAGGTGAGGTTTACAGTTGGAGGTCAAGGTGAGGTTTACAGTTGGAGGTCAAGGTGAGGTTTACAGTTGGAGGTCAAGGTGAGGTTTACAGTTGGAGGTCAAGGTGAGGTTTACAGTTGGAGGTCAAGGTGAGGTTTACAGTTGGAGGTCAAGGTGAGGTTTACAGTTGGAGGTCAAGGTGAGGTTTACAGTTGGAGGTCAAGGTGAGGTTTACAGTTGGAGGTCAGGGTGAGGTTTACAGTTGGAGGTCAGGGTAAGGTTTACAGTTGGAGGTCAGAGTAAGGTTTACAGTTGGAGGTCAATGTAAGGTTTACAGTTGGAGGTTAAGATAAGGTTTACAGTTTGAGGTCAGGGTAAGATTTACAGTTGGAGGTCAGGGTAAGGTTTACAGTTGGAGGTCACAGTAAGGTTTACAGTTGGAGGTCAAGGTAAGGTTTACAGTTGGAGGTCAAGGTAAGGTTTACAGTTGGAGGTCAGGGTAAGGTTTACAGTTGGAGGTCAATGTAAGGTTTACAGTTGGAGGTTAGGGTAAGGTTTACAGTTTGAGGTTAAGGTAAGGTTTACAGTTGGGGGTTAGGGTAAGGTTTACAGTTTTAGGTCAAGGTAAGGTGTACAGTTGGAGGTCAGGGTAAGGTATACAGTTTGATATCAAAGTAAGGTTAACAGTTGGAAGTCAAGGTAAAGTTTACAGTTGGAGGTCAAGGTAAGGTTTACAGTTGGAGGTTAGGATAAGGTTTACAGTTGGAGGTCAATGTAAGATTTACAGTTGGAGGTCAAAGTTCAGTTTACAAAGGGGGGGTTCAAGTTAAAGTTCACAGCTGTTGTTTATGCTAACGTTAATTGTTGGAGGTCAAAGTTCTGTTCACAAAGGAGGGGACATTTTAAAGTGTATTGCTGTTGTTAAGGGTAAGTCCTAGATTTACAGTTTGGGGTCAAGGTAAGATTTGCAGTAAGAGGTCAAGGTAAAGTTGACAAATTGGGGTGAAAGTAAGGTTTATAGCTAGGGGTCAAGTTAAGAAATACATCTGGGGGTTGAGATAAAGTTAGGAGTCAATAAAGGCTAACAGTTGAGGTTTAAGGTATGTAGCTTTCAAGCTCAGGAGTCAAGAAGTTCATATTTTCGGGCCAAGGAAAGTTTAACAGCTGAGCCAAAGGTAAGATTTACATTTGGGGTTGCTGTTAAGATAATCAACTCTTGGTCAAGATAAGATTTACAGCTTGCGTTTGAGATAAGGTTTAAAGCTAGGGGTCAAGGTAGGGTTTACAGCTAGTGGGTCAGGGTAAAGGTGTACAACTAGGAGTCAAGGTTAAGGATGACAGCTAGGGGTCAATGTAAGGATTACAACTAGGGGCCAGGGTAAGTTTAACAGCTAGGGTCAAGGTTAAGGATAACAGCTAGGGGTCAAGGTAAAGTTTACAGCTAGGTGTCAAGGTAAGTTTACAGCTAGGGGTCAGGGTAACATTAACAGCTAGGGATCAGGGTTTAGGTTTACAGCTAGGGGTTAAGGTAACGTTTACAGTTAGGGATTAAGATTAGGGGTTTCAGCTAGGGGTCAAGGTAAGGTTTACAGCTAGGTGCCAGGGTTAAGGTTAACAGTTAGGAGTCAAGGTAGGTTTTACAGGTAGGGGTCAAGGTAAGCTGTACAGCTAGGGGTCAGGGTAAGGTTTAACAGCTAGGAGTCAGTGTAATGTTTACAGTTAGGGATCAGGGTTAGATGTACAGCTAGGATTCTGTTAAATGTTTTCAGCTATGGGTCAGGGTTAAGGCCTACTAACAGCTAGGAGTCAAGGTAAGACATACAGCTAGGGGCCAGGGTAAGTTTTACAGCTAGGGGTCAAGGTAAGATGTACAGCTAGGTGACAAAGTAATGTGTACAGCTAGGAGTCAGGGTTAAGGTTTACAGCTAGTGGCCAAGGTAAGTTTTACAGCTAGAGGTCAAGGTAAGGTTTATAGCTATGGGACAAAGTAATGTGTACAGCTAGGAGTCAAGGTAAGACATACAGCTAGGGGCCAAGGTAAGTTTTACAGCTAGAGGTCAAGTTAAGGTTTATAGCTAGGGGACAAAGTAACGTGTACAGCTAGGAGTCAGGGTAAGGTTTACAGCTAGGGGCCAAGGTAAGTTTTACAGCTAGGGGTCAAGGTAAGATGTACAGCTAGGGGACAAAGTAATGTGTACAGCTAGGGGTCAGGGTTAAGGTTAACAGCTAGGGGCCAACGTAAGGTTTTACAACTAAGGGTCAGGGTAATGTTAACAGCTAGGGGCCAGGGGTTTAAGGTTAGCAGTTAGGAGCCAAGGTAAGGTTTACAGTTAGGGGTCAAGAAAAGATGTACAGCTAGGGGTCAGGGTAACATTAACAGCTATGGGTAAGGGTTAGTGTTTACAGCTAGGGGTCAAAGTAAAGTATACAAGTAGGGGCCAGGATTAAAGTTTACAGCTCGGGGTCAAGTTAAGGTTTATGGTTAAGGGTTAGGATTTAGGGCTACAGCTAGGGGTCAAGGTAAGGATGATATATAGTTATGAGTCAGGGTTCAGGTTTACAGCTAGGGGTGTAGGTAAAGTTTACAGCTAGAGGTCGGGGTTAAGGTTTACAGCTAGGGGTCAAGGTGGGGTTTAGGCCGAGGTTTTTAGATTTAAAGCTAGGGGTCTTTGTAAGGTACATAAGAGGTACACTATTTTAGTTTCAAGGTAAACAAAGCATTACAATTTTGTCAATTTTAATAAGACACAAATACCTACTCAATATATCAAGATAGCAGTCATAAAGGGATATAATTTATATATGTTGTGATTGTGACTGTGATTTCACAATAAATATTATATGATGCCATATCTCAATCAAATTAAAGGATCTCAAATTTTAGTTGGCAAGTTATTGATAGCCAGCATTCTTTGACATTGAAAGAACACTGTTTTGCTGTTGTTTAAGACAATTTTATTCGCTGTAAACCTGGTCATCAATTGTTTCCTATTGCAGGAGTATTATCACCCCCATTCATTTTTTTTTTAATTAACTTAAATATTTATTCATGTCACTTGATTTTTCATATTTTATTTAAATTAAGATTTGGCAAACACAATACTAAATTATCTGAACTATATATATAATGTTTTTGGTCCTTAGCTCTATAGTGAAGGATTTGTTACAGCTCTTCATTAGTACATTTAACTCTTCACCCACTCACTATAGCTAGTTAATAAAAATCTTTTATTCACTTCCAATTTTGGAATTGTATCAAACACCTGTAAAAAGCTGATTGACTTTTATAAACCAGCAGTTACCTGGTAATATTAAAGGGTCAGGGAAATGGGAAAGTTTGCTGTGTTATATGTCCTTTAAACAGCTATGGTAATTGAGGTAATGTTGCACGCTTTGTGGTAAAGGAAACGTGGAGTACCCGGGCCATCAATTTTAAACTGTTGAAGATATCTTGATGAAACTTGAGGTATGCATGCATCACCCACAGAAGGCGTGCAGTGCACTGAAAATAGGTCACTGTGACCTTAACCTCCAATTCAAAGGTCAAATACGTGCAACATTTTCAGTAAATTCTTCTCCTGCCTGTACATTTTTAACTGTTAAAGATATCTTGATCTGACTTGTAGTATACCTGCACCACCCACAGAAGGTGTGTAGTGCACTAGAATTTGGTCTCGTGTCCAACTATGTACAGAGTTATGGCCCTTTGTTTATTTTTTTATATCGAAGTTTGTCCACAGCATAACGTATAAACTGTTAAAGATATCTTAATCAAACTTGAAGTATACTGTTAAAGATATCTTAATCAAACTTGAATTATACCTGGATAACCCACAGGTATTTTTAATACCGAAGTTTGTCCGGAGCAGAAGCTCCATGTTATTTCACCTACGTTTACCAAACTTAACATATTTATGTATCTTTGTTTGTCTATTGGCTAATAAGGGGAGACATTTTTTTGTTCAATTTCTTTTTATATACCATTCAGTTGTTTTGACTTTATTTTTTCTTTAAGGTTCAATCTAATTCACGTGGAGGTGGCTCAGCAAGAGGTGGAAATAGTCGAGGAAATAGAGGGCGTACACCCCCTCCTGGACCCCTACTACAATCACACCCTCCCCAATTCCAATCACCCCCTCCTCTATTCCAACCTACCCAGCATGGACCCTTGCTCCACTCACCCCCTTCTCTATTACATTTACCAACCTCTGGTAGGCCACCTCTCCAGAACCATGGTGGATCATCTTCACAGCGTAATGATGGAATCCTTCCAACCCCATATGGTAAAATGACTTTACAACCTTTTGCAAAGTAATAGAAAGATATGGGTGTCTTGTGGATAAAGGTATTAGACAGAGTATTGAACACGATTGAGGGTGATGGTGTTAGGCAGAGAATTAACAGTCCTGTGGACAGATAAATTAAACTGAATACTGTACATGTGTACTGGGAAATTGTTGCCACAGTTTAATTTTTCGCCTTTTTTTTGTCCTCCATAAAGATGGTAAAATCATCAGTAAACGAATATAAATAAACAACATAATAATTAAAGTAATCGAATGTGAAAGTCAAAGTTAACACTGGCTGAAAACTTATTTCATGGGCAAAGGGAAAAGTTTGACTGGACTAAAGTTTCTCATTAAACAGTATTGAATAGTCTTGTAGACCTGTAGAAGTATCAGACTAAGTAATGAGCAGTCTTGTGGGTAGATGTATCAGACTGAGTAATGAGCAGTCTTGTGGGTAGATGTATCAGTCTGAGTACTGAGCAGTCTTGTGGGTAGATGTATCAGACTGAGTAATGAGCAGTATTGTGGGTAGACGTATCAGACTGAGTAATGAGCGGTCTTGTGGATAGACGTATCAGACTGAGTAATGATCAGTCTTGTGGATAGACGTATCAGACTGAGTAATGAGCAGTCTTGCGGGTAGACGTATCAGACTGAGTAATGAGCAGGCTTGTGGGTAGATGTATCAGACTGAGTAATGAGCAGGCTTGTGGGTAGATGTATCAGACTGAGTAATGAGCGGTCTTGTGGGTAGATGTATCAGTCTGAGTACTGAGCAGTCTTGTGGGAAGATGTATCAGACTGAGTACTGAGCAGTCTTGTGGGTAGACGTATCAGACTGAGTAATGAACAGTCTGGTGGGTAGACGTATCAGACTGAGTAATGAGCGGTCTTGTGGGTAGATGTATCAGTCTGAGTACTGAGCAGTCTTGTAGGTAGATGTATCAGACTGAGTAATGAGCAGTCTTCTTGGTAGACATATCAGACTGAGTAATGAGCAGTCTGGTGGGTAGACGTATCAGACTGAGTAATGAGCGGTCTTGTGGATAGACGTATCAGACTGAGTAATGATCAGTCTTGTGGATAGACGTATCAGACTGAGTAATGATCAGTCTTGTGGATAGACGTATCAGACTGAGTAATGATCAGTCTTGTGGATAGACGTATCAGACTGAGTAATGATCAGTCTTGTGGATAGACGTATCAGACTGAGTAATGAGCAGTCTCGTGGGTAGACGTATCAGACTGAGTAATGAGCCGTCTTGTGGGTAGATGTATCAGACTGAGTAATGAGCAGGCTTGTGGGTAGATGTATCAGACTGAGTAATGAGCAGTCTCGTGGGTAGACGTATCAGACTGAGTAATGAGCGGTCTTGTGGATAGACGTATCAGACTGAGTAATGAGCAGTCTCGTGGGTAGACGTATCAGACTGAGTAATGAGCAGGCTTGTGGGTAGACGTATCAGACTGAGTAATGAGCAGTCTTGTGGGTAGACGTATCAGACTGAATATATTTAAAGTTGAAAAACATCTTTTTAGAAAATGAATAACAACATACAAATATTAACTTTGAATATTTTGTCAAATATTTTGACGATGAGCTGCTGCTTCTTGGGACTTGAAAGCTGTTTTAAATTGATTTTGTCAAATCTAGATTATTTCAAATGATGATCAATAATTTTATACATATATAAACCTTATTTAATGTTTCTGAAAAGGCAAATACAAGGGAAAAAGGAATGTTTTTCATGAATAATTTGCAGTTTTGTTCAAAAGCAACTACATTCAACTTCGTATTTTTTTTTTTTTATCAAAATTGAACAAGTACATGTAGCTATATCATTTACCCTAGCTATATCTACTTATATATTTTTGATATCAACATTTTCTACCACTTTTAACCTTTTAGCTGCATTTCAACAAACCAACAACCAAGCAGTTTCTTTTTTTTCGACTCGCTCGTCCTAATGGCCAAGTGATCACAGATGCTTACTCTGTCCGTCATCTTTCTCTTTTCTGAATGACCACTGACCAAATCTAAGGACAGGATGTTTTGCTTGTAAAATCCTGGGATGAGGCTCAGAAAAGTCTGAAATAAAAGTGATCTAAACTTACTGTCATCCTCATTTGTCCTCTTGTTAGGTGTTATTCAGCTGAGTATTTGATACTCTTTATCAACTAATGAAAACAAAATCCTTCTTTAATTTACATTTTCATTATTTTGCTTATTTTGCAGGAAGAAAGAAACAGCAACAAATTCAGACTGACCCACAGTACCTTACTAATAATCTGGAGTACCTGAGGAACCTCTCAGAAAATGCTCAAGGAATCCCAGGTTTCACCAATCCTATGGAGTCCTTTCAGTCCGCAGATAATGGACGAACAGCCAAAACAGCAAAGACAGGCAGAAGAAACAGAGGGAATCATTCCAAACAAGGTGGAGCTACAGGGCAAGGCAAGGGAGTGAACTCTGACGAGGACAGCGATGGCAGTATCCAAAGCCAACCTGATAACCCGAGTATGTGGGGAAACAGAGGGCTTAACAGGAGTTATGGTAGCACTGACTTCCTTGATCAAGTAGCAAAAAGAAATACTAATAGTGGTAAGCAAGGAAATCGGGGTGACCAAGGAAATCATGGTTACCAAGGAAACCGTGGATACCAAGGAGACCGTAACCGTGGTCCCAGACGAGGTAGAGGTGGAGGCAGAGGTCACCATGAGGGCAGTTCTGAGATTGTCAACAACAATGATGATGAAAACAACCAGAATGGGAGATCACGAGGAAGCAACAGGGGTCAGGGTCGTGGCAGAGGTCGAGCTCGCGAAAGAGGTAGAGGTGGGGATCGAGGCAGACGTTGGTCATCAAAATGTAACGTGAACAGCGGGGATGAAGACGAAGAAAGTGACTCAGATAGTGATAGTGATTTAAGCAGTGTATCAGGGAGTGAAGCGTCAAGAAGTGTTATCTCTGGGAGTCAAAGTGACAGGCTCAAAGACTTTGATAAAAAGAAGAAAAGGAGAAGACCTCGACAAAAACCTCGCAGTTGCTCATTAAATGAAGAAGTTGAAACCTTTGAAGATGAACGTGTAGATGAGAACAAGATCTTTAGTTATCTTGTTAAGAGCTTTGGTGGGTTTGTTGCCTTTGATGAGTTTGTAGAGCAGTGTGACCTTTTTCCCAGCGACCTTGACATAGATAAATGGTTTCGATGTCACAAGCGAAGGTTCAAATTGTTTGAAAAGGAAGGAAAGATTTTGTATGTATCTGCTTTCTATCGGGATGTGACTCTTTGTCTGGGATACAATTGCCTGTTTGGACGCGAAAAGAAGTGTTCAAAGACAGACTGTGAACATTTCCATATTTGTAAAAATCATATCAGTGGAAATTGCTCGTTTGGAGAGACCTGTTGTTTTTCCCACAGTTTTCGAGATGCCAACAATTTGGAACACAAGAAAAAGCTTGGGCTTCATGAGTTTTCAGACAAAGAAATGGTGGTTATATTGGCCAACAGATACCCAAAGGTTTGCTCTGATTTCTTGAAGACTACCTCATGTCCAAATGGAGAAAACTGTCCAAATCTACATATCTGTAGCCTCAGTTTGAGAGGGAGGTGTACCAGAGAGGCGGACTGTCCACTTGGTCATTCTTTTGAAACTGACCACAACATTTGGGTGTTAAAGGCATTGGAGCACTATTCCTGGCTTACGGGAAAGTCAGGTTTACTTCTTAGGAAAATCATATTGGTGGACCGATCCCTGGAAGCACCATTAGGTGCACAGACAACGCAGAAAGAAGAACCAGAAATTGGTGATGAGGAACTGAAAGATATTGCAGATGAAATTGAAAGATTAAAGAAGACACCTGGAAAGAAACGCCCATCCAGGGCAGACCGATTCAAAACTAATGACCCCGATGATGTAATCTCCTTCAATCTGAACCAGGTTCATATCAGCGAGATGAGTTCTGGTGTAGATGCAGAGATACCTGATGAACCTATGCCCGAACAAACTGAGAAGGCTGAACCAAAACAGAAAAAGAAAAAGCCTAAGAAAACCCCAGGATCTAAACAAAACAAGAAGGATGACACTGTGGAAACTCCGACAACATGGTTGAATGAGGAAGCTTTGGACATTTCCATCTGTTTAAAATATTTGGAGGGAAACTGCTCAGGAGTTTGCCCAAAAGGTCATCACCATCACCCTGACCAGGCTCCTTATGTGTGGCAGATCAAGCAAGGAGACACCTGGTGCAGCTTCACGTCAGAATACAGTGAGGAAATTGAGGAAGGTTTCTGCAGACATCTAGAAGTCATTGATGCAGAGGTAATCTTTCTGTGATGTTAAACAGTTCCTTCATATAGGAGTAATTTGTCCTGTGAGACAATGTAATGTTGTTATAATACTAGGTTAACCAGGCTTTCATTGTCAGTTGAAAAGACCCGTTGGTCCTGTCCGGTACCTTTTCATTAGTTCTGCTGACCTGAAGGGCCAAGTTAAAGAGCTAATGCTGTGGCAATTAAGGCTTCTGTCAATTTGCATCAACCTTTCTTTTTAACTCGACCAGATAAGAATGGCTGAAAAGATTTTGACCCTTTAAATGTTGTATATATGAAAGGTATTACCTTCCAGGGGTCAGAGAGACGGGGTCTAACAGGGGAAGTATAGGTAAATCTTAGAAATCCTTTACTCCTTGAATACAGATCATAGGCCAAGAGGACTCAACTTTGTATAAATGGATCAGGGAAATCCCCATCCCTAGCCCAAACTCTCTTCAGTTCTATTGTGGTTCAAGTTGGGACAGGCAAGACATAATTGGTCTGAATTTTTGTGTTCAAACTTAAGCTTAGTGTTAGACAGTACTATAGATCACATATACCTGGTATGTGTTCTACACTAACCCTAAATCCAACACAATCAGATAATTGGTCTTGATGAGGGATACCTGTATATATACAGTACATTAACTTCAGTAAAAAACCTGGTAAAATATTCAAAAGATCAAATTGCAGTCTCATGTTCAGTTTGTATTGTAACGGTCACAAATTATATATTTTTGATATTTAATCAGTTTTACTTAATATAATTAATATTATTCATAAACTAGAATATTTTGCTGTTAAAAGTGAGCTTAGATTTAGTGTTATAATGACATAATATTATGATTTAGTGAAATTCCTGATCAAGAAATTTAAGAGTACAATATTAGTCTCAGTTTTGATACTCTCTGAGTTACACAAGACATTTTTGCTGTTGAAAGTTGCGTTAGATTTGTGTTATATAAAAGAAATGATGATGATTGTGTTGTGTTTAGATATTGGTGGAGAACCAAGCTGTATACATGGTTCACGTGTGTGTCAGTGATGTCAGAAATACCAAGGGTGTGGTGTATGAACAGGACGGAGTGATGCTTGCCGCTCCTCAGAGCTTCCCAGTACGACGCTTATCAACTCAGTCCTACGTCGACGTGAAGGACAAAAAAGTGGCAGCCTTAAGCTTTACGACACAGTGGAGATGGTACTGGAAAAGCGATGAAGAACAGTGGGAACCGTTTGACACTGTGAGCTTTCCTTATCATAATTACTGTATGAATTATTCTACTGAAAAAAAAATCCATTCCCTGAAGGGAAAGAACAAAATGATTTAGATTTTGCTTAATTCAATAATGTTTGAATACTAAAACAATCTAATTACTTCTATATTAACAATCTACACTGTTGACTCACTCAAAATCCATATCTAATTTTGATCCTGTAAACTGGAATTATCCCATTACCTTACCATTAGTTCTGGAGAAGTTTCCATGAAGTTGACATTACAGTTCATGTGGGTAGATTCTGTGAATAAGACAAGACTAAAATATGAAACTTGTAGGTACGCTAATCAGACCGAGACTAATGTATGAGATAGTTATGTACCAAAATACTACCATTCACAGAAAAACATGATTAAATTTATCAAATTATCACAGATGGCTTTGCCATGTTTGTTCAATTTACACATGCTCAACTGGAGTTAATCACCTCATATACTGACCTGAATAGAAAAGTATAAATATTCCTTAAGGTCATAGGAGTGTATTGCTAAGCGGAAATAGGAAGTACATCCCTAGTTGAAAACCCAATGTAGGGAGACAGTATCACAATTTCCGCATATTGTAATGTTTAATATTAAACTGATGAATATTGTATGTTGTTTATTGACAGAACAGTGTTTTCTTTCAATATTAAAGAATTTCAAAGCAATCCAGACATTAATTCTGTTGTTTTTTAATCAATGAGTCACATGTGTCCATTTTTCTGTACTTCAGGAAACCGGCTACCTATTTACCTATTTGAAGTTTTTCAAGAACAATAACTCTTACATGCAATTACTTTTATTATAAAATGTCAATTTTTAATCGTTTATAGATAATTAATTTTACACAATTTCAGCATTGATATACGTATACATTAATGCGAAACTTATCTATATATGTCACTATCATTTTTATTGACATTATTTTGCAAAAAAATGTTTCATTTTTTTTTTCAAAATTCACTCTTTTTTTTACATAAATTTCCATTTAAAATCCTCAAAATTCTGACAACCTATATTTTTTTTGTGGCAGAAAATTTTCTTTACTTCAAAGCAATATAACTACAAAATTACCTTAAATAGTCATCTGCCTCTTGATATATATATATATATATATTAATAGTTATTTTGTTTAAAAAAATATTTTTTCAGGACAACTTTCAAAAAACCCTAGAAAGGAAATACAAATATGGACAACAAACCTTCTTGTTCACCAGAGAGAACTACCGATTTAAATACAGGACAGACTTTCGAACCTTTCGACAGGTGAACCTTGACACAATGAAAACCCGTGATATTTGTCGTCGCCCTTTGTTTGTGTCCCTAGAGGATGTCAAAAATAAGAAATTGTGAGTACAAAATATCAAAAAAGAAATACCTCTTGGTTCATTCCATTGCAAGTATACAATTGTGTATCTTTATCATACAAAAACAAAGGTAATAGTTTCAAGCTAAGCAAAATCCATGCATATATAATTAATAATTGGAGGATGGTTCCTGCACAACAACTCAATAAAATATAACCAGATTTTTTCGAAACATTTCTTCAGGTTGGTAAGTATAAAATAAAGGTTTATGTATCACAACCAGTAAGTTTTTATATGTGACATTTTGATGACTACAACGATATACACCCTGTCTCTTTCATCAGACAAATGATGTAAAATGTGTACAAGTTGGCAATAAATAATCATAACTGATCTGGCTACGCTATAAGCATATGTACAGTTGTTATACATGTACGAAATGACGAATCATATCGATAAGATTATTTGGCTAGGATTTGTTTAATTCCTGGTCATAAATGTGCAAGCTGAGTCTATGCAGCCATAAAGCCTATAAAGATGCTTTGCAATATCCTAGTACACCTTAATGATAGAACAACTAAAGAAACCAGTAGCAGAATGTATGTACAATATCTGATGCAAGAACTGTAACACATCTTTTATCATGGAAACTGGCAATTTGGGGTCAAACTTAGTGAACACAAAGAGGATACGGAAACCAAAGAGGGAAAGAAATTATCCAATCTGAGAGGAAGCAGTTAGAGTTCCAGATCAATATATCAGCACTGAACCGAGATGAGGGGGCTCATAGACTCACACATATCTTTCACCAGGTATTACACATAGTATAGCCGAATCAAGTTGTGGGTTTGATTTGTTATTTCATACATGTAGCACAACTAAACGCACATATGCTTACAGCATATCTAAATGGACTTATTTATATATTGCCATGTTTTCCACCTTTGTGTACATACGCGTGATTGGTCATTTGTCTAATGAGGGTGACGGTATGTATCATACTAGTCATACTATCATACTGATATGTCGCACATACACACTTGCTGATTGTGATGGATAACCTTCAACTATATGACCAGACTTTGGTGAACTTTGTCAGTGGAAAAGTTGTTTAATACGTGATAGTTATACATGTACGTAATTTGCTTAATTACAAGGTGTAGTCAAATGTAAAACATTCATGTAGCTCTGAGAAATTCTATTTCGTAATTACTGTGATAGCGGTGAAATGAGGGAGTCATCTGATATCAGTGTTATTTAAAGTACTAAAATACGTTAACAATGCAAAAGTCACTACAGTCTGGGTCAGGAAACCTACACTAGTATCTGATGTAAAATATTCACAGAACACATTGTAAAAAATGCTGTGCAAAAACAGCACAGCTGTTAATTACAAAGAAAATAATAAAATATACATGACATGGTTACTTTAATTGTGCAATTGCCAGGGAAAAATCTCCAGTAATTATAAAATTAAACACAAGTCATTTTTAATGCAATGTTGAAAATCCTTGTTTCTGTGTCCAGCCCTCCGTGTCTAGAAGTAGTGGACCCGATTAGTAAACCACCAACCTTTGTACCATGGGATTTGTCCAATGATTTTGAACTTGTGGAACTGGAACGAGTGAAACCCGAGTTTAAGGCTATCCGTGACAGGTTCTTTGAGACGATGGACAATGGCCGCTTCGATCTTCTGTACATCTACAGGGTACAGAACTGGCGCCTTTATCAGGACTACGAACTGTAAGTTGGTGTCAACACTAGTCCTAGCCATCATTCACTCCATTTCAATTGAACCTTAAGAAATATTTAGAATCCTTTGATGTGTACCTGACTTTCCTATTAATCTGTTAGAACTCTTTGTAGTGATCAGGTTACCCCAAACTGCTGCCAAAATATTAACTATGTATCGGGAACTTCAAAGTATAACCATAGGTTTAATAAATCAATTCTGGAAAGAAACTCCTACATTTTACAGTATTTCAGAGTATTCCACAGCCCTTTTCAGAGTTGATGCAGTTATTTAAAGTGCTAGAGTTGATGTAGTTATGACATTTAAAAAACAAATGAGAGGAATGAAACCCAACATTTTGCATTCAATTGAGCAATGTTTTAATTCAAATATAAGACGTCAAAAACAAATATAACTGTTTCATAAATCAGATAAACAATCATTATTTTTACAGAAGAAAAAAAAATATTTACCACAAAATAATTTGAATGTGTTTAGCAGATTTTCCAGTCTGACATACAAAATACCTTGGTCTAGAAAAGTAGGTTAAATATGGGGGTTTCTTTCTTTAATGAAAAAAGGATAACAGAAGTTAAAATGCAGCAAGGATGATTATTTAGATATAAAGCCTTTGCAGCAAATTGTTAACTTTAAAATAAAACTGGAGAAACTGAAATCCTTTAAATATCAGTGTTACTGAATCTTAAGCATGTTTTTCTACAGGAGGAGAAAGAATATGAAGAAGGAAATTGACATTATAGAAGGTCAGAGTCGTGATGTGAATGAGAAGTTTCTGTTCCATGGCACAGACTCTATGAAAACCTGTCAGGGAATCTGCACAAACAACTTCGACTTCCGAACAAGTGGAAAAAATGCCACAGTGTATGGCGAAGGATCCTATTTTGCAGAGACAAGCAAGTACAGTCACAGCTACACACAGCCTGGTAAAAACAAAGAAAGGTACATGTTCCAAGCAAAAGTTTTGGTTGGACTATCCACTAAAGGTAAATCTTCCTATCGACGACCCCCTGAAAGGCCTGGCCAGACACACAAGCTGTACGACTCGTGTGTAGATATTGAAGATAAACCCAATATGTATATCATATTTGAGAGAAGCCAGTCATATCCCGAATATTTGATAGCTTACAGAGAGAAGAGTACGTCTGACCTTGGTATGGCAAATATTGGTACCAGTCATGCCATGGCAACACCAGTTCAGACTCCAGCAGTTACTGTAAAACCAAAATTAGCTCCAAAACCAATGGCACCTACAGTAGCCATGCCTCAACAAGCACCAAAACCAACGGCACCTACAGTAGCCATGCCTCAACAAGCACCAAAACCAACGGCACCTATAGTACCCACACCAGTACCAGCGCCACGTGTGTCTAGAGCGGCACCACAGCCAGTGGCACCACTTCAACCGCTTGTTTACCCTTCAAGTTCTAGCCATGAAGCTCCAGCCTATCGAGCTACATCAAGTCTTACCCCTTTGTCATATCCTACAACTACTGCTTCAGATTACCGTGACAACCTGAAACGAAGCTCTACTATCCAAGATCATGAGCGTGTTGCTAAGGAAAGGAGCTTTGGGGCCTATGACCGGAACATAACAGGGGATCAGATGAACCAATATTATGTAGAGGATCAGCTTGAACGGAGACGCCGGGCCACAGAGTATGCCTCTGATCTTGAAAAACTGAGGCAAACTACGTCATATACTCCACAACAGAAAAAGAAGGATGAAGGCTGTGTTCTTCAGTAGACAAGGCAGACTTTGTTAGAAGATTAATTAACTATATAGTATTGATTCATTTCTAGAACAGAGATGAAGAAAGTGTATTTAAAGATGCTCCTTATGTTTTACGTCAAAAAACGTCTTGTGTTTAGAAGGGGTATTTTTGGAATTTAATTTGTATCATTTTCGTACGATTTTGAACTTAAATGGAAAAAAAAAAAAAAAAAATCAGAAGGAGATAACACTGGGAATGTACGAATTGGAGTAAAAGTCTTTTAAAATGTGAATTTTAAACAAAAATCGGCCCATGTAACAGACGAGTCTCTTTAAAACAATGCCCCTCCTAATTCTGACACGCTAGGCCAGCTGTGTCCCTAATAAACAATACCCCTCCTAATTCTGACACGCTAGGCCAGCTGTGTCCCTAATAAACAATGCCCCTCCTAATTCTGACATGCTAGGCCAGCTGTGTCCCTAATAAACAATACCCCGCCTAATTCTGACATGCTGGGTTAGCTGTGTCCCTAATAAACAATGTCCCTCCTAATTCTGACATGCTAGGTCAGCTGTGTCCCTAATAAACAATGTCCCTCCTAATTCTGACATGCTAGGTCAGCTGTGTCCCTAACAAACAATGCCCCTCCTAATTCTGACATGCTGGGTTAGCTGTGTCCCTAATAAACAGTGCCCCACCTAATTCTGACACACTAGGCCAACTGTGTCCCTAATAAACAGTGCCCCTCCTAATTCTGACACACTAGGCCAGCTGTGTCCCTAACAAACAATGCCCCTCCTAATTCTGACATGCTTTCTAGGCCAGCTGTGTCCCTAACAAACAATGCCCCTCCTAATTCTGACCCACTAGGCCAGCTGTGTCAGAATTAGGAGGGACACTGTTTATTAGGGACACATTTGGCCTAGTGTGTCACACCTAGTGACTGTCACTAGGTGTGATGGATGTCCCTCCTAATTCTTACATGCTAGGCCAGCTGTGTACCTAACAAACAATGCCCATCCTAATTCTGACATGCTCGGCCAGCTGTGTCCCAAATAAACAATACCCCTCCTAATTCTGACATGCTGGGTTAGCTGTGTCCCTAATAAACAGTGCCCCGCCTAATTCTGACACACTAGGCCAACTGTGTCCCTAATAAACAATGTCCCTCCTAATTCTGACATGCTAGGCCAGCTGTGTCCCTAATAAACAATGCCCCTCCTAATTCTGACATGCTAGGTCAGCTGTGTCCCTAACAAACAATGCCCCTCCTAATTCTGACATGCTAGGTCAGCTGTGTCCCTAATAAACAATGTCCCTCCTAATTCTGACATCCTGGGTTAGCTGTGTCCCTAATAAACAGTGCCCCGCCTAATTCTGACACACTAGGCCAACTGTGTCCCTAATAAAAAATGTCCCTCCTAATTCTGACATGCTAGGCCAGCTGTGTCCCTAACAAACAATGCCCCACCTAATTCTGACATGCTGGGTTAGCTGTGTCCCCAATAAACAATGTCCCTCCTAATTCTGACATGCTGGGTTGGCTGTGTCCCTAATAAACAGTGCCCCGCCTATTTCTGACACACTAGGCCAGCTGTGTTCCTAATAAACAATACCCCTCCTAATTCTGACACGCTAGGCCAGCTGTGTCCCTAATAAACAATGCCCCTCCTAATTCTGACATGCTGGGTTAGCTGTGGCCCTAATAAACAATGTCCCTCCTAATTCTGACATGCTGGGTTAGCTGTGTCCCTATAGCTAATAAACAGTGCCCCGCCTATTTCTGACACACTAGGCCAGCTGTGTCCCTAATAAACAATGTCCCTCCTAATTCTGACATGCTGGGTTAGCTGTGTCCCTAATAAACAGTGCCCCGCCTATTTCTGACACACTAGGCCAGCTGTGTCCCTAATAAACAATACCCCTCCTAATTCTGACACGCTAGGCCAGCTGTGTCCCTAATAAACAATACCCCGCCTAATTCTGACATGCTAGGCCAGCTGTGTCCCTAATAAACATTGTCCCTCCTAATTCTGACATGCTGGGTTAGCTGTGTCCCTAATAAACAGTGCCTCGCCTAATACTGACATGCTTGGTTAGCTGTGTCCCTAATAAACATTATGGAATGTGTATTATGATTTATCACATTAAAGAAGTAGTTTGAATCCTAGAGATAATGGAAGAGACCTTTAGAACAGGTATTGTTTTCCTGGATAAATAAAAAGGAAACATAATTTTTGAAAAGTAGTTTTGTTCTATGGATAATGGAAGAATTATTCTTAAAAGGTCAATGGTTCCTCTGCAATCATTTTTCTTGATGATAAGCCTCAACATGAACAGTGATCCACTGTTTAAGATTCGTTTAAGAGTTTTATTAAACACAGTTACAGTTAAATGTTATTATTATTATTATTTAATGGACTTTTGTTGTATACTGTATACAGGGAAATTTCGCTGCAGTTTAATTTTCACCTTTTTCGCCCTCGGTAACGAGAATGAATTTATCATCACAGCTAACATTTGTAAACAATATAGTATACTTAGTAATTTAATGTGAAGGGTGATTTGATATTGGGCGAACATTTTAACGAGCAAACAAAAATTCTGTATACAGTATTAAATTTATATTGTAATTATTATATGTTGTTACTTCTCTTGTTCTAATGGTCTGCTTAAAATTCTTTGAAATGAAATGTTGCCGACATTATTGAATCCTGAGTTATGTATCTATTCTAGCTTGTCAGATGTAGCGAAATGAATTTTTGTCTGACTTATTTTATAATTACCAGGCTGTGTGATCATTGATCATCAAGGTAATTCAGAATTTAAAGTTTGCTGTTCCTTTATACATATGAATTCTATGTTTCCCACATGATCTTGTTGTATTGATATGATTTTTCCTGATGTGATAGAATTACTACCAATCAAAGAAATTGTGTAGATGATTGTTGATAAATGAACCTTCAACCCATTTCTGTTATAAGGATTCTAAAATGGTGTGATCCTTATTGGGCGATAAGTATAGTTCTGTAAATAGAGATAATAATAGTATGGGGTCTGTGAATTAATTAAGTTAGCATGAGTAACAATACAAATTAATATTGAAGTTTTTACCTTGTGTCCTGGTAAAGGGCTTTAAGTAGTGAGGGACTGTAAAGAGGGTTTGGATTAGCCCCTGTTATATGTTAATTGAAGATACACAATGTACATGTACTAAATTATAAATAGCCTAAGGGGATAATGAGGTCAATCCCTCAACAGAAGATCAGGTATCGAGGTCCCTCCCAACAGATGGAGACATGGCGTTAGAGGTTAATAATTTGTGACCCTAAAGTATTAAGACCGATGGAATTAATAATCGCTAAGCTTTGAATAATTAAAAAGAAAAAGGTGAACTGCAATACAAGTACGTCCGTTATATAAATTAGCAGTGAGCGATTTTGTTGTTGATGGGTTGTTCGAAAGATACATGTATATGTGACGCAGAACTGGCCCGAGTTGTTCATTGGCAACCAGGTGGCCAGTTGATAGAGTGTCTGTATAGGGTTCAGAAGGTCCTTCAGACAGCTTCAAATCCTGGTCTGACCATGCATTTCTCTTAGGTGTCAACCTCTGAAACTTCCAATAAGGGAGATCTCCTTCATTCCACATTTCCAATGAGAAAGAAAGTGCATGAAACAGGACTGAAACTGCTTTGTTCAATTTATCTGTCCCTTTTTATGTATCAAAATAACTCCAAAAAACATACATTTGATTCCGACTCGCCAGTGTTACGATCATTATACACACACCCTGCAGTAACTAAGAGATCATTTATTGACAGGATGAAACATTTTGAGTTTGTGTGAGTTTGGACTAGAATGAGGGAATTTTGAGAGGGATTGGTAAATTTTGGTGAAACTGGAGGAGTCTCCCTCCTAGTGAGGGAGGGTTGATGGCTATGATTTCTCTCCCTTGTTACAGTCACTAGGTGTGATGCCTATGATTTCTCTCCCTTGTTACGGTCACTAGGTGTGATGACTATATGGGTTCTCTCCCTTGTTACAGTGACTAGGTGTGATGGCTATGTGGTTTCTCTCCCTTGTTACAGTGACTAGGTGTGATGGCTATGGGTTCTCTCCCTTGTTACAGTGACTAGGTGTGATGGCTATGCTTTCTCTCCCTTGTTACAGTCACTAGGTGTTATGGCTATGATTTCTCTCCTTTGTTACAGTCACTAGGTGTTAAGGCTATGATTTCTCTCCCTTGGTACAGTCACTAGGTGTGATGACTATGATTTCTCTCCCTTGTTACAGTCACTAGGTGTGATGGCTATGATTTCTCTCCCTTAATTGTTACAGTCACTAGGTGTGATGGCTATGATTTCTCTCCCTTGTTACAGTCACTAGGTGTGATGGCTATGATTTCTCTCCCTTGTTACAGTCACTAGGTGTGATGGCTATGATTTCTCTCCCTTGTTACAGTCACTAGGTGTGATGGCTATGATTCCTCTCCCTTGTTACAGTCACTTGGTGTGATGGCTATGATTTCTCTCCTTTGTTACAGTCACTAGGTGTGATGGCTATGATTTCTCTCCCTTGTTACAGTCACTAAGTGTGAGTGACCAACACTTGTTACAAGTAGTGGGTGAATGCTCAGCAAGGGGATACCCAAATCTGGGTGGTTAATAGTGCATTGCCTTTGGTGAGAAATTCTTATTAGATAATGCAGTAGTGGAACTAGACGGGGTCGATCATCAGCAACCAGGCAGCTCAATTGGTAGTCAGCCTCTGACTAGAGTTCGGAAGGTCCTGGTTTAAACCCTGGTTGGACCCAACATTGCTCTCTTCTGTTACATATAAATCTAACATGCTTCATAATGATAAGTACAAAGACACCTTGAAGGCACTGATTCTTGATTTGATACTAAGATAGACCATGTTTATTGTTGATAATTATATATATAACTGTCAAATTATTGAATTGGGAATGTGTTGCACAGCAGAGTAATACTAACATTAAAAACAACAAAGGAGGAGTTAGGGTATTGAGATCTTTAAACATATGCCATGGTAATATGTCTTAATTGTCTTCTAGAAAGTGGACATCTCTTACGTTATGGTGGCAGCAATGCTATGTTGCTAGGCAACAACAACTATTGATATGTTGCTTGGTAACAACTGCCGCCAAGGAGATATTTTATAAGACTATCATGCATTGTTGTATTTGCAAATTTGTCTCCCCTAAATCCTCAATGAGCAATTATTTGAGTCATCATAATTGCTAATGATGGTACTCATAGGATACATTCTATGTTTTTCCCTTAATGTTACACCCGGTTTGCCAAACCGAAGATAGCACTGTGCCTGTGCAATATTTATATGCTATAGACCAGTAGCTTGATCTTTTACAGAGCATATTGTAACTTGTAATTGTGCTATTAGGTAGAAATTTGTTTTTAATAACATGCTAAAACAAACTTTATTACTTTATTAATTTCCTATGTATACAGTAATGGCATCATCTAGCGTCACAGTTATTCCTTAATCCCATTTAATCCTGGAGCCATCCATGTGCATCCTGGTGTTGGCCATTTTGCCTGATTAGTCTAAACATGGTGTTTAAAGTTTGAGAGGGAATTACTGGTTATAATAAGCACATAAGTTATAATGTAGGTTGCTCACATGAGCTGGGATTTTCTAACATGTGCTTGAATTAGAAAAACATTTCTCGCATGAAGAAATCATTGGACATGTGCATTGGAGGTGAGCCATTTCTTTGCTAACATAAACTAACTTGAAGCTCATGGGCAAAACTTCACTTGCATACATTTCTAACTTGTTTCTGACGTATCAGCTGCTTCGATGATGAACTAATGTTAAAGTTTTCTGTACGGTAGCTCACCTGGCACAAAGTGTCTTAGAGCTAAGGTTAAAGTTTTCTGTACGGACAGGTCACCTGGCACAAAGTGTCTTAGAGCTAAGGTTAAAGTTTTCTGTACGGGTAGCTCACCTGGCACAAAGTGTCTTAGAGCTAAGGCTCGAGTTTTCTGTACGGGTAGCTCACCTGGCACAAAGTGTCTTAGTGCTAAAGCTAGAGTTTTCTGTACAGGTAGCTCACTTGGCACAAAGTGTCTTAGAGCTAAGGCTAAAGTTTTCTATACGGTTAGCTCACCTGGCACAAAGTGTCTTATAGCTAACGTTAAAGTTTAATTAGTTTTTAAGAACTATTAATACAAGCTTACAACATGTTTTTTTAAATATGTTTAGAATCGTAATGAAAAAAACCTTTGATCAATTCATGAACGTGTATTTCCATCTTTCTCTTAACTTTGTTTATTTGATAAAATATCAATCAATTGGTTGATTTAATCATCAGTTGGAAAGAAAAAGTTTGGATTTTACAGCAGGTATCTTGATATGACTTGTTAAACTCTCGTTTTGACCCCTGTTTTGACCACCCTTTTAGATTGTATCTTGGTAAGCATTCTTTGCATAATATTTACAAACAAATGTAAAGATAGGTCGATCATTAAACCCATATCTAAATGTTAATAGAAAGTCATGAAATGAAATTTTGATAATGTATACATATTGTGATAATTTTATTAGCATTAATTTGTGTTTGTGAAAATAATACATTTCTATTGTTTTAGTTTACTAAATCCTGTAGTTTCTAGAAAATTTATATGTATATATAAATATATAAACACGTATATAAATTCAGAAATTTGATTTCATCAGCAGATTACACTATGTCCACTTTGAATATATTTGTATGGCTTACCTGGCAGAAAGTGCCTGCAAACTAAAGGTATGGTGCAATTGTCCCTCGTCCATCCTTAAACAGCTAATTCTTGATATCATTGTTTTTCAAAAAGTAGGGGATAGATCTTGCTTAAATTTCATATGAATATTCCCCTTTGTCCCTAATTGTGCATATTGATTTGAATAACAAGATGGCCACCGAACAGCCATCTTGGTTTTTACAGTTAAAGTTTGTTATTACATGGAAGTACTGGGGGATGTTTGTTCTATTTATAGACACCCCTTCACTTGGATCTTACTTATGTTCATTTTCAGCTTTATTGGAAAAAATTCACCAGGAGGCAAACACATCTGACATCTTTAATTCGACTGTTGAAGTTTGCCATTACTAACTGTTCAGAAAGTAAAATCACTGTTCTTTCTAAAGTTTCAGCCGTAATACTTCCTGTTCCCTATTTCGGCACATATTCAATTTGAGCTTAAGCTGTTCTGCTTGATCAGAAGAAATATGCGACTACCAGAAATCAGAATTTTCTTTCTGTCTATTTTTACACTTTATTACTTTATATACTAGTAAGTAGGCCAAATAACAACCTTAGTATAGAACTTTGACCAAAATTTACAAATTTGCATTATCTCTCCACATGACTCCATATCAGCTAAGAGAAAAGAACAGCCCAACTTGGCTAGAACCAATGAAGATCCTACAACGTCGGGTAGCAAGATCCCTCTTGGATTTCATTTCTTTGAACATCTTCTTCAATACCGAAAAATCTGTTGTCCATAATATTTAGCCAGTAGGTAAATAGGATGACGAACTATAAAGTTTCTTCTATAACTGACCTGGACCAACATTCAAGGTCACTGGTGAAATATTAACAAAATCAAGCAAAATTGTCTAAAGAACTATTGAAGGTCGCGATCTATAGCTATGATACTAGGATAGGTCATGTAGACCAGCAGTGTGGAACTTCTTCTAATACACATACCTTGTGTCAAGGTCAAAGGTCAACTTTGTGAACTGGCCAGGTTCAAAGATTAACATGGGTTTATATAATGGGTAAAACGATTTAAAGAGTAAACTTCTGAAGTTCAATAAGCCACAGGGTCATTATATTTAGCCAGTAGGAATCTGGTATGATGTGCTTTAAATTTTGTCATATAAATGACCTTGACTAACTTTTAAGGTCCCAGGAGTCAAATATGTTAAAAAAAGTCAACAAGGTCCAGAGCAATGCTGAGTAGACATGTAGACCAGCTGTGAAAATCTATTTCTAATGTACAGTGGTAATATTTAAGAGCTAGCTCAGAGATCATATGTTAACATAAGTTATTTAGTGGGTAAAAAACTTGAAGAAAACTCCTTGTAAGGTTCACACCATTGTGGGTCATGACATTCAGCAAGAAGGTGCCAATGCAAGGCCTTGGGTCAAAACTTGAGAAGTTGTGGGAACTGTTGAAAACCCAATTATAACTTGGGAAGTTGAAGGAACTGTTGAAAACCCCATTATAACTTGGGAAGTTGTGGGAACTGTTGAAAACCCCATTATAACTTGGGAAGTTGTGGGAACTGTTGACAACCCCATTATAACTTGGGAAGTTGTGGGAACTGTTGAAAACCCAATTATAACTTGGGAAGTTGTGGGAACTGTTGAAAACCCCATTATAACTTGGGAAGTTGTGGGAACTGTTGAAACCCCCATTATAACTTGGGAAGTTGTGGGAACTGTTGACAACCCCCATTATAACTTGGGAAGTTGTGGGAACTGTTGAAAACCCCATTATAACTTGGGAAGTTGTGGGAACTGTTGACAACCCCATGATAACTTGGGAAGTTGTGGGAACTGTTGAAAACCCCATTATAACTTGGAAAGGTAAAAAGATCCCTATCATATTAATATTCATATACTGCTGGGCGTAAAGGAAAGAACACAAACTTGTTACCAGGATCTAGCCCCTCCCCTAGGACACAAAATTAACATGAAATCGATGAAATGTCAGTCCCAATAACCATACACATACAATGTATGTAAACTGATCTGAACAAGATTTGCTATGAAGCATCTTTAGGACCAGAAGGACAGACCTAAAATGAACGTATATTTATAATACTTATTTTAAAGGGATTATTTTGCAATGAATGTCCAGATGAGTGATACAAGCCCTTTGGACCTTTTACTGCATGAATGAGTATACTTAAGCTAACATGCTTTACTGTATCCCTGTAAACACCATATATATTGTTAGTGATGTTTGTGATAATATCAGATAAAAACCTGCAACATATACTTGAAAAATTTGTGCTCCAGTATATCTCCGGTGATCCAAATGGGCTAGGTGTGACAGGCCCGTTAGGTCTTGTTATTTTTGTTTTTGAGGGTTTGAGTTACTTTAGGAATGTTGTCATGTTCTCTTGTGTTGTTTGTATAAAGCTTTCAAAAAATAAAGGAATACAAGAGGTAGAATGGTGTCGTTTTCTTCAGTTCCTTACTACCCTTTAAAGAATAAAGAAAAAGAGTACCCCTTTTCATTTCACCGTCCCATATCCGTTTTGTTGGAAAATATTTTGTTTGTTGCTTCCAGAAAATTCTTTACACACTGCATATGTAATTCCGAAGTACTCGCAAGTATTACATACAGGCTTTCAACTTGCACGAGAGTGTAGCAGCGACTATAGACTCGTTTGATTAGGTTACCTCTTTTTCTGCTATCATATGAAGGCACATTTGTTGACTTTCAACAGAAATTAACGTGAAAGTATCCCTGTTCTATAACACCATAGTTACACTACTTAAGAAAAAAAAAGAAAAAAAAATTGCAACAAAGCAAATTGCGTTTACAGCCTCATCTAGGGTGAGACCCCACATACTTCTTTGTACCATAAGAAAGGGAAGTTTTACTCGCGGAAAATGTTTGTAGCTAATATTGTGGAGTAGTGCATGTTATAGCACAACAAAACAACAATAGAATACTTAAATGTTAACAAAATTATAATTCAAAATCTATAAAACTAAGGCAAAATATGGAGAAAAATAATTTACACGGAATTCCCAGAAAGTGTAGGATAACATTCGGAACGGTTATCGTCATTGCTTAAATTAGGACTCCCAAATGTAAATGGGATCAAATTCAATTCAAGTAACATGGCTTCTCCCTAGTGGGGACAGAGGTAGTGACAAACCACAAGACACTAATTATATAATCTAAAACATCGACCTAGTGTACATGTCTATACAAGGAAATGTTTAGAACACTACACTTTTGACATTTCAAACATTTGTAAATACTGTTAACACGCATTGTGTTGGTATTGATGAATCAATACATGTCCCCTACTGGCGCCCCCAACACACTAAACAACATTGTTAAAGAACCGCTGTACATAAAACCAGCATATCCTATCGCTAGTATTAGTATTAACTGACTTATTTGCATATTGTAGACCATTATAATAAGTTAATACTAACTAGAACTGTAAGCCAAAGGCTAACTAATAACCCCCGCTCCTATACAGACCAGAACTGTAAGTCAAAGGCGAACGAACACCCCCCGCTCCTATATAAACCAGAACTGTAAGTCAAAGGGGAACGAATAAAACCCCACCCCGCTCCTATATAAACCAGAACTGTAAGTCAAAGGCGAACGAAAACCCCCCGCTCCTATATAAACCAGAACTGGAAGTCAAAGGCGAACGAATACCCCCCGCCCCTATATAAACCAGAACTGTAAGTCAAAGGCTAACGAATACCCCCGCTCCTATATAAACCAGAACTGTAAGTCAAAGGCTAACGAATATAAACCAGAACTGCTATATAAATCAGAACTGTAAGATTAAGGCTTACTAAGGCGAAGCAATTGAACAGCAATCCATAGTCTCCCACCAGTAATGATTTCTTCATTGAGTGACTGAAGTGTACTCTTATTTAAGTATATAGGTACTTCTGTACTCCCTCCCAGTGCCAAAACATACTTGCAAACCAAATCTTGTTAGCCCAGATAAACTTGTTTTGCTGAAATCGTCCTAGTTGTTGGGTAAGAGATGTCAGGACAAAGATTTTTAACAAAGGGCCATAACTATTTAAAAAGGGTCGAAATGAAAAAAATACTAACCTGATGCACGACATCAGGGGTAATTACCATATCTGTAAAGTTTCATTAAAATCGGCCCAGTAGCTTAGGAGGCAGACAAAGTTTTTTTCAACAAAAGGCCATAACTCCTTTTAAAAGGGTCAGAATGAAATAGTACTACTTGGATGCACCACGCCAGGGGGCAGTTACCATATCTGTAAACTTTCTTTGAAATTGGCCCAGTAGATAAGGAGAAGCTATCAGGAAAAGAATTTTTCAACAAAGGGCCATAACTCCATAAATAGGAGTTAGAAAAAAATTGTGTGGATGCACAACATCAGCGGGTAGTTTTCATATCTGAAAACTAACGTTGAAACTAGCAGCATATTCTTGGAGGAGTTGTCTAGAGAAGTATTTTCCAACAAAGGGCATAACTCCGTCAAAAGGGTCAGAATGAAAACAAGAGGCCCAAGGGCCTTAGCAGTCACCTGAGTTATATCGTAGGTACTGGTAGCTTTATTTTATTGTTTAGATATGATGTGGAAATCAGCATGTAAACTAAGTGAAATACAATACTTGTTATGTCATCAAAGGATAAGAATGTTAAAATATTGGTAAATGTTCCCTTTGGGGCCCGCCCTGGCCCCTGGGGATGGGGCAGGAATTCCAATTTTACAATGTAATACCCTCATCCACCAAAATTGATTCTGACCAAGTTTGAATAACTTTCTGCTGAAAATGGATAGAATATACCCAAAAGTGTTATTTCCCTATATAAACTATAGTTAACTTTACCCCCTCCCACAGGGAGTAGGGATGGCCCTTGGGTCCTGAAATTTACAAGTTAAATAAAGCCCCTGATGATCTTTTCATCCATGCAGGGAAAATGACTGTAGTACCTCTGAATCTGGAGAAGAAGATTTTTGAAATATTGGTTATTTTTTCCTTTGGGGCCCCGCCCTGACCCCAGGGGTTGGGGTAGGAATCCCAAATTTACAATTGTGTAGCCTCATCTACCAAGGATGATTCTGACAAAGTTTGAAATAAATCCATCCGCTGGTTCTTGAGAAGAAGTTCAAAATGTAAAAAGTTTACGGACGATGACGGAAGTGATCGGAATAGGTCACTTGAGCAAAGCTCAGGTGACCTAAAAACAATACCTGGATGCACAACATCAGGTGGTAGTTATCATATCTGAAAACTTTCTTTGAAATTTGCCCTGTAGTTTTGGAGAAGTTGTGCGGACATGAATTTTTCAACAAAGGACCATAACTTTGTGAAAAAGGGCCAGAATGAAAAAATATTACCTGGATGCACAACTCCAGGTGGTAGTTATCATATTTGGAAACTTTCGTTGAAATTGATTCATAACTTTAGAAGGAGTTTTTTCTACAGACGGACGGACGGACAAGCTGATTCCAGTAGACCACTCCCCCCTAACTTTGCTGCGGGGGTATAAAAACAAAGAGAAAAACGTATCATACTGTACCTTCATTTGAACATCTATTCCACACTTCTTGGTATTATGTAAGAGTTACAAGTGTTTACACCAAAGAAGTAGGAGTCGAATCTTTGATGTATGCAACGTTTTGTAGGCGTCAAATACCATTCTTCTTAATATTAATGGTAATGGTGGTTTTTTTTACGAATATTAGAAAATAACACCACGTTTAAAGAATTTTGATTCATTAATATTATTCACAGCTAAACTACAAAATGCATCTTTGGCATTTGTAGCGCCGTGTGGGAGAAAAGTACATTCTAGTACTGTCGAAGGGATTATTTTACATGTTAGACGTTCTTAAATACTATAAACAAAGAGTACAATATAAGCAGTGGCAATACACTTCATTTGAACATCATCAGTAGTTCACTTCTTTAAGTATCAATGAAATGGAAATGTATGTGACTTTCTGAAAATTTTGTGCATATTATAGTGCTAAAACAACGTATATACATTTTTTTCTTTCTTTTCTTTCTATAACAATCTTCCACATTGCAGTTCTGTCTTGCAGCAAACCCCGATACTTCATAATATTATCAGAAAGGGGTTTTCCAACAATTTCAGAGAATGTAGAATGTGCATAGTCCTTAGAAATGGTAATTGTTATTCCCTGCTAAACCTCAGCATTACAGTTATCGAAGGAACTGGTTCAACTGTTCTAAGCATAATGTGACCTTGCAGTATCAGCACTCCAAGGTCCACATCAGATCTGCGCTATCATATGAAAGCAAATTCACCAACATATCGCCTCCACTTAACATTTCCCACCAACAGATATTGTCAAACCAAATCAAAGGCCTTTTCAAGGCACAATCTGACGATTTCAAGATGAGCCAAAGGCCTGTCTTTGTGACCAAGATGAGAAAACGAGAAGAGTTTTGGAAGTAACCCTTTTCTATGAAGGGGGTAATGGGGGCTCTCCTATAGAAAAACTGTACTTGGAAGATGGTTGCTTTTAAGTAACTTTGAGAAGTACACTTCAGTACGTAATCAGCAAACACCGAAGCCGATGTTTATATTCAGTTGTTCTAATGCCTGTGATTGGCACTTTCCAAGTGAAGTTTTATCGCCGACTCGCCCATTTTCTTTAAAACAAGAGGCCCAGAGGGCCTGTATCGCTCACCTGAATATTTAAGCAGTCGTAGCAAAATATTCTCATTAAATATTATATTGCACTACAAATATTTCCCTCGCAAACTTTGTCGGCTCCATCTGTTGAAACTACCAGCCAAATATCATTATAAGATTCTATGCTTATTTATTCTTCTTCAGAAGTTGCTTGACATATTTTCCCCTGTGACCTTGTAAGTAGGGCAATGTCATTTTCCTTCTCAAATTGGTTAGGTCTATTCCAAAAAGCTACCAGCCAAATCTTATGAATCCTTTCCTTTTACTTCTAAAGAACAAATCCTTTAAAATGTTGTTGACCTCTAAAGTAGGTTGAGGTCATTTTCATTTGCAAACTTCGGTAAGCTCTATCCCAAAAAGTCACCAGCCAAATATTGTAATTGTATGCCTTTCGATTATTCAGAAGAAGTTGTTTGATGTTTTTGATATAGTTGACCCCTGTGACATTGAAAGAAAGTCAAGGCCATTTTCATTCTCAAACTTTGTTGGGCTCTTTCCCAGGAAGCTACCAGCCAAATATTTAGGTTCTATACGTTTCAGTTCTTCAGAAGAAGTCGTTTTAAGCATTAGACGTATCTGACTCCTAAGACCTTGAAAGTAGGTCAAGGTCATTTTCGTTCTCAAACTTTGTCTGGCTCTATCCCAGGAAGCCATCAGCCAAATATAAAGATTCTATACCTTTCAGTTCTTCAGAAGAAGTGGTTTGAAGTGTTCGACACATTTGACCCCTGTGACCTTGAAAGAAGACCTAGGTCATTTTCGTTC